GTAGTACAGCTGTCTTCATGTATTCATGCAAACACAATACCAAGCAGATACGTAAGTGTTGAAGCAGAGAAGCAGAAGCAAAATGGTTTAGTTCTTCCAGACTTGGCAGGCCAGAGACGGGGTTCTGATGTGTTGACATTTGGAATCAGTACTGATGACTGGGTTTGAATCATAGTCCCAGCACTAACTTGGCCGAATCACTTCAATTTGCAGCCTTCATTGTTTTCTGGTGGGGTGGAGGTGGGAGGGGACTGTCTGTAAACTGAGGAGGGTGTCTGAATGATCTCCGTGGGCTCTTCTGGCTCTCACTTCCTATGATGCTGTGACTTTAGGAGGTGGCATTTGATCTGGGCTTTGGAGGGTGGGGTGATTTTGACAGGCTGCCTTGTAAATGAAGGAAAAAGGTATTCCAGGTGGTGAGAACAGTTTGAGCAAAAACACAGTGGCTAGTAACTGTAGAAAGAATTCTGAGAATGGTGTATAATGGTCTGATTTGACAAGGCTAGAGTTTAATCCTGCAGAAGACAGAGGAGGCAAGAGGCATCCGGAGGCCCCTTGGAGCTCAGGGAGGGTCTGAAAGTTATGCTGAAGAGCTGTGGCATTTTCCTTAGAATTAGAGGATCTTTTCTTGAGCATTTTTGTCCAGTGACTGGCCTCTCTCTCTCTGAACAGTTCCAGTGGTGGAGACTTCTGTCGACCACCTATTCCATTTTCAGACAGCTCTAAGTATAAGAAAGTTCTTCCTTACATTGAGTCAAAGCTTATGGGTTCTAGTTATACTTTTTCCAAGATGTAGATAATGAAAAGTCACTGGAAGATTTTAAATGATAGAGGAGTAGGTTCAGGGATATATGATCCAAAGGTCTGAAGTAGACCTGTGGCAGCACACATATGATATGTACCCCCAGTGCCCCCCAATGAAGATTACTTTTAAAAACCTTTGAAAAGTAGTCCGTTCATCAAATATGTGTTGAACACCTATGATAGGTCAGTTTCCAAAAACCTAGTGATAAGACAGTTTCTGCTCTCACACTCTTCCCAGGCTCATGGGGAAGATGGACCAGTAGACCTCTGTGGGGAGGACTCTGGAAGTTTGGGGTAGGAGTCCTTAACCTGGCAGGTGAAGCATAAGAGATCAGGAGTCGGGGGGCAGGCAGGTAAGTTTTCCTGGAAGTTGAGGAACTGACTTGATTGACCCATGAGGCTGAAGGGAGACCACCCGGGGGTGGAAACATGGAGATAAAAACACGAGTGAATGTGGCCTGTTTAAAGATCTGAAAGCCATTCTGTGGCAAGATGTGGTGTGTGTATAGTAATTGGCTAGGAGTGAGGCTGACCCAGTAGACAGACACATTGGTCATGAGGGGCTGTGTTTGCCATGCTGAGGATTTTATATCCTGAATTTGATGAGAAACCAATATTCTTAAAAATAGTTTTTCCTCCCTCATTTATACAATATAAATATACCCCTTTAAAAATATTAAAACTTACGGCAAATATGAAGGAGGAAATAAAAGTCACCTCACTAACCAGAAAAACCACCGTTAAAACATTTTGGTATATTTCTAACTAAGTATGTTTTTATGCATAGATATAGAAGAAAAGCATGATCTTATTTGTAAAACATGGTTTGTATCTTGCTTTTTCTAATGTAATGTGTGTCAGCATTTCCCAGACCATGCCATTAACAGTTACTTGAGAATTTGGCTACTAATGACTACATAGCATGGCCCCAAAGACGACTCCATCTTACACTTAAATGCCTTATAATGGGTTAAAATTTTTTAAGTTGCTTGCATTTTTCATTATTATAGATAATGTTCTGACAAACATGCTTGTTGGTAAATTTATATTCACATCTGCCTCTTCCCTTGGGGTAGGTCCAGCCACATTAGCAGTTGCCTTTAAACAGGGTCAGTCTGGACTCAGGTGTGTTTATTTGAAAAGCCGTTAAGACAACAATGTGAAGGGTGGGTTGGAAAAGGTGATCCAGAAGGAAGCAGAGGAAGGATGCTATTGGAGCAGTTTAGGCGTGTGTGAGGACTTAAACTAAGTTATTGGCAGCAAGGTCAGAGAAAAGAAGAAATGGTTAATGATTCATGAGGTGTTTGCATGTTTTATATTGGTTGATTGTTTGCATGACAGAGCTTTCTTCGAACTTGATGAAAGCTACCAGCATTTTTTACATATTAATTCAGAGGTTTGGGGACCTCTAAAGTGGCTATAGTGGGTGGGGCGAAGAGGTTAGTAGGGGTTAATAGTTCTCTTTTCCAAGATAGGAAATACCATGGCGGAAGAACAAGGTTGAAGGGTTGGCTTGGGGAGGAGAAATTTATAAGCCCAGTATTAGATGTATCAGGTAAAACTGTCAGAGAGAGAGTTTATAAATTGATGTAATGGCATAGGTGAGAGGTCAGAGCAGGATGTGGAAGCCATCCCCACAAAGATGGTGGTGTTGAGACCCTGGACACAAAAGCAGTCCTGCAGATCAGGGTGTTCATGCAGGGAGTACTTGGGACATAACCAGGGAGACCACTTACTCCTAAGTAGCAGACAAGAGGGAAACTAGAGAAGGAGCTAGGAGATAAGTATGAAGAAAACCAGAAGAGAATGTTGTTGAGGAAGCCAAGAGAGACAAAGGTTTCAAGGAAAAAGTCATCAAACTGTCAAATGTTGCAGAGGTCAAGCAAGAAGAGCACTGGAGGGCGTCCACAGGAGCAATTTCAGTCACCTGTAAATGTGGGATGAGCAGATTCAGAGGAATTGTGGGGCTGAAAGCCAGATCGTGGCTTGTGTTGAGGAGTAAAGGGAGCCGAGGGAGTAGCGTGCTCACACCGTTTTTCTAGGAGAGCTTGTTGTGAAGAGCTGGAGAGGGCCAGGTGACAGCTCGAGTGAGACAGGGCAGCACAAGGCTCCCTTATTCTTGTTTACGTTAAAGAAGCAAAGCTAGGTTTCCAAATTGTCATATGACTTCGATTACCTCTCCAACATTTGTTATTTGCCATGTTTAAAATCCTTTTACTGGTGGTTATTTTTTGGAAGTGGTATATATTCTGTCCAAGTTCCCAGTGAAAGCATTGCTGCCCAAACTCCTAGCATCTTACTTCAAGTTCTGTTTAAACAAGCCGAGACCTCCATGTTTGCTCATAGTCTCTTTAGATTTTAATTAGACTCCCCTCTCAGTTTTTAAGCTTCAGCACAGTAATATTTGGAATTATAGTTTTTAAATTACAGAATAGGACTTGTGTCCTTGAAGTCTGACCTTTACCTGAAGCATTGGTCGAAAATGGTAAAAGTTTAAATGTTACAGTTTAGAGAATGTCTTTATTGTGTTGCCAAATGCTGATTGACAGAGAGATTTAATTCTAACAAGCTCTAATTAGAAAGAGAGGAAAAAAATCAAAAGGTGATGTCGACCAGAATCAAAGTGAACCAGAACAAGAAATACTTTTATTGGTTGCAGAACATCAACAATGTGTGATACAGTCTTGTTCACTTCCTTTACTAGCAATGAAAATACTGCAGGCTTTCTCTAGGGGGTTCAGACAGGCTAATTGAACTCATAATCTTTTTGATAGGTGTTATTTGTTGGTAATATGATGCTTTGGAGCTGCAGAAAATTATTTACTTTTAGAGATATACTAAATGAGTCTTGGCTTAAAAAATATGCAAATGTTTCTAACTTGGAAGAAATGGATGTCAATGTAGTGTATATACTGGTTTCTTAAACAGTAAATTAGCCTGTTTTTTGAATATTATTTCAGTATAATCACTTTAAAGATGTTGACATCAAAAAAGAGGTATCACTTTTTTTATAGGTCTTTGTGTTATAATAGAAAACTAAACCATGTAGGAGATTAGGTAGAGGATATATGCATATACATCAAAACATACATAAACCCATACATATAAATACGTGTGTGTGCGTGTGTGTGTGTGTGATTTTGCTTTATAAAGAGCCTGGTTGTTTTTTTCCTTAAGGTGAGATATACCTTTCTCAAAAATAATAATTTATTCTGAAATTCTTGGTCCTTCTTGCTGTTCGCTTTCCAGTGAGGTTCAGTATTATAACTTTTAACTCCTTTTGGACCTCTCTTCCTGCCCATGCTGTCTAGAACCTTGAGGCCATTCCTTTAATCCTTCTTTCACCATTTGAGCCAGCTCTCTTGCTCTTTGACTTCTTACTGAATCTAATTCAGTCTTCCCAGGCTCAGCCTCATCATTTGACATCTTTGCCCCTGTACCTGGGTTGCTGAGCACGGTCAGCTGAAACTTGACAACCATGCCCATTGTAGCCTTTATAAATTTATGGTCTCCGTTCTGTTAGGCCCCCAAGACCTTTGCCATCCTCGATTGTTCTACACTTTCACCCGTGCCTTCCTGCTTCCTCCCTCCACCTAGTCCCTAAGTCTCAGAAAATAATCTTGACTCGTTTTATTGAGACTACCAGGCAGGAACTCCTGAATATCTCTTCTTTCACTACCATTCCCTGTCAACCTGCCGATTTTCACAAAATCATATCACCTTCTAGTTTTTTTCCTACTTTTTCTCCTTAACCTTGTCTCCAGACTGCTCAAAAGAGTAGTGCCTTTCGCTTACCCTTCTACTCTCTGGCTTCCATCTAAACTGCAAACTATTAACACCTGTGAGATAGTTTTCAACCTTCACCTTATTTGGCCTTTAAGGCAGTTTAACATCATTCAGCACTACCGCTAAGCATCTCCCTCAATGTTCAGGAAAACTCCTCACTGTTGGATTTTCTCCTACCTTAGTTTCTCACAAATTAAAAGTTACCATTTTTCCAAAGTAGCAGGAAAAAATTTAAGCATTTAATGCTTTACAGCATAATAATTGATGTGAATGCTTGTAATTCAGTATTAATTATACTTTTAAAATTATATTATACTTTTATAATAAATAAATATATTACAGTTTAGTATTCATTATACTTAAAAATAAAAAAATATATATTAATTATTCCTTGGCTTCTTCTTTCCTAGTTAATGAAGGAATTCCCCCTCCTGAGCATGTTCAACATCCATGAAAACCTTTTAGAAGCCCTCCTGGAACTGCAAGCATATGCTGATGTTCAGGCAGTCTTAGCAAAGTATGACGGTAAGTCCTTGGGTATTTTCACCCACTTGAGTGTTCCTCTCTCCCTGATGTATTTCAGTGATTAGGTCAGAAATATCTTTTCAAAGAGCACAGCATTTCCACCTGATTTCTGTGGTCAGGAATCACTCAGAACCTCTGCAGGCAGCACAGACCCTGTTGAGACAGCTCTGACTGTTCAAGCTCCTGCTCTGACCCCACGTCGCTTGACTGTGACCACTGTCTGTTGGTCATGGTGATCCTCTGAAGCAGTACAGAACAGCTGGTAGCTCCTGCTGCAAACCTCGTGACGGCTCAGTACCTTAAGATAAAACCGTGTCCCCTTCATCCCAGGTCTTCTCCTCGTTAGCAGAATAACCCCCGTTTCTTCACACAAGAGGCTTTGCAGCCCCTTTGCCATTCTAGTTAGTTACCCACTGGTAAATAAGTAAAGCTTATTCCACTCTGCTTGTTCTTAATAAACCAGAAGAACCAGCAGACACCTCCTAGATATTTGAAAACTCTTCTGCTCATATTGCCATTGCCTGTGAATTCACTATTTGATTAATTATGGAAAAATTTTCTGCATAATTACCTACCATGACCTAGCTACTGGAATCTCTGCAGAATTTCATACTCTTCTGCCGTATTTCATCAACTCTTCCCCTAAAATAAATATATTTGCTTATAAAATGGATGTTAGGGAGTGATTACTCATATCACATGATCATTTATTACTTTAGAAAATATTCTTTCTTAAGTAAGCGTCTTCAGTGCATTTAAGGAATTATTCAGGTCAAAATTTCCAGGAATTTATACAGAGCAAACTCTAGTATTTGAGTCTTATTTTTCACATACAGTTCTTCATAAGGAATCTCTGAAATAGGTTTGAGTTGTTACCCTCTACAGTTGGAGGAATTGAGGCATGGTGAGACTGTTTTCATTTTGTTTTGTTGTTAATTCTTTCTCAAACTGATGGAAACTGAAAGCCTTCATCCAGCGATGGCATCACTTGGCCTGTGCAAACATGAGCACCCTATGTAACAAGATACATGCTACCTAGTATGGATGTGATTTTAGAAAGAGAAAAGTATTTGTGATGTATTTTATAGTAAACAGAATAAAGACTGTTTGGCCTTCATGTCAGCTCACTTTTGTTCTCTGTTTATATGCTGGAATCTCACTGTTGGGCTGACCTTGGGAGTCTAAGCCAGGAGACTACCTTAGAGGCAAAATGCTCATCCTTGAAGGGCCTTCTGGTACTGAAGGAACCCAGCACATGGGTTCAGGTGGCCACGTGCTTTTCCAGATGCCACCCCATAGCCGTCAGTGTCATAGCAAGGCCCCTGTGTTCTCATCCCCAGTGCTGACCTGCACTCAACCTGATACATCAAGGCTTAAGATTTAACCAACAGAGCCTTTGGGATTTCAAATCTCCTAAGGCTCCTTTCATGAAGATCTCAGTTCATTACAGAAATCATCAGCTTTGCGTTACAAGACTGATTGTAAAATAAAGAAATGAACTCATTTGGAGCTTTCTGTCGTCTCTCTCTATCCCGTTGCACAGCCTCTGTTCCACAACAACCAAAAGCTGATTTATTAGATTCTGATAACATATGTTCACATTATTTGTTACAACAGCCTGTCCCACCCTCCACTAAAACTTGGCTCTCACTTTGCAAAATTCCTTTGTTGCAAATGGACAAACTCACCATACCAAGGCCCTTGTGTTAAGCTTTGTTTATGTTTGTACTTGGCAACAGAGATGATGTTCTTATTCATTATTCATGGAAAAAGAGCCTCATTAGTGGCAGGACACACATACTGTTGCTGAGATGCCTCGTTAGGGGTTTTGAATTCAGCAGTTGTCAATAGACTGCAGATGACCTAACCCCAGCTGAATTCTGTTTTGGTGCAGACTTGGCTTAGGCCTGTGTCATTTACAGTAGAAATATAATGAAGTGGCTGGTGAAGTTACTGTTCTTGAGGAGTGAATTGCAACCACACAAGACTATTAAAAACATGACTTATTCCTCACCCAGGACCAAAAAGTGGGCTTTTTCAAGTTCATCCTTGCTGCTTTTCCTGGAGACTGAAAGGACTTCGACCCTGTTCTTGTCCCATTTTCTGGCCCTATGCAAGGAAGTGGGTGCTTTGAGGGCTTGGACTACAGACAGCAATTGGGGCGCCCTGTTCTTCACCCTGGTTCAGATGTCGTTACTCTAATCCATGAGATTCTGGAGACAGCACTTTGAATCCCAGCCTCTCCATCCCTCTCCATAGAGCCACACCCAGAGCAGCAGAATTATATGTTATCTTTGCAAATTGGAATGCTCTGGTTGGGTAGCTGTTTCTTGGATGGTTTATGGGTACAGCAATCCTTCTTTATTACGTTTGCTAGGTGGATGAATTTTTTAAGTAGTGTGTTGGGAAGTGACACAGTGGGATTAGTGCTGCTTTTCTGACCTTTGCAAAAAGGATTTAGAAATATGGCAAAGCACGTGGGAAAAGACACAACATGTTCTGAGGAAAGGAAGAAGATAACATGTATTCCCTTTGCCTCATCCTTTTTTTTTTTTTTGCTTTGACTTCTGAAAGTGACAGTCACAAAGTCCTTTTACAGTGATGGCTTTGGAAACCCTGGATTCTTAGTAGGATTACCAGTTAATTGGTCACACCTCCTTGTAAACTGCAGTCTGATTTTGATTTTTCCCTTGAGATAACTTCTGAGCTTATATAATTTCAGCCATTAGTCTGAAATGCTGTCTTGCTATCCTCAGGAGTTTTCATGATCTTCTAATTTTTAATATGTTAACCAACATTCTAGGTAGGCAGTTTTTACCCAGGGGATTGGTCCTAGTTTTGGAAGGTCCTTCACACAATAACTAAAAAGTCAACAGCGGCGGCAGCTAGCATTGAGTTCTTGTAATGCGTCAGGGTCAGACCAGGTTCTTAGCTCTACGTGGATGAGCTCATTTATTTTCAGCACAAGCATGTGAGGTGGACACTATTAGCCCCATCTTATAGCTGTAGTAACTGGTACAGAGAGACGTTAAGTAACTTGCTCAAATGAAGAGCCCAGGATGTCAAAGTAAAGCCGTGGAGATGTTACGTTGTGAGAGAAAAGAGATTAGCTGAGAACAGTCTTGATTCAATGAGAATGGGAATTCTATGTGGAAAGGAAAGTCAGCATAACAACGGAGGCGGTCTGACCCCAGGCCCATGCTCTTAGCCATCACACTTCCTCTGTCTCTGCTGTTGGAAGTATTTTTAATTGTTTTTATTAATGCTGTTCTTGTTGTTGTTATCATTTGCTACAATTTGTTAAGAACCTACCATGTGCCCGCACTTTATACACATTACCTGTAACACTTACTTACACTGTCCTTGCAAGGATGTAGTTATTCCATTTTAGTAGATGCAGAAACTGAGGCTTGTGAATTTAAGTAACTTTGAAGACCACATTCCATGGAAACTGCAGAACTGAGATGCAAATTCAGGTCTAGCTGGCTCTAAAAGCCCATGTGTTTTTCATAAACGTAAGCCTTGCTCAAGTGACTTTCCCTCTCTCCCTCTGCTTACAAAGGCATGAGTTAGGCGAGCTGGAGCCGTGATGCAGAATTTCAGTGATGCCAAATTGTCTTATAAGATTCTTTTGTAATCATTCCTTAAAAACCGGGTATACCTATGTTTGCTTATCTTTCTGAAACTGTCTTCAAAATAGGGCTTTCCATCTTCAATCAATGCCTGATTTCTTTAGTCATAAAGGGAATTTGATATATGGTGTTCATTTAATTTGAGATTTATCTTCTCTTTTTCAGTCATACATTAGCTATAAAGACAGAAATGTTTTTAAGATCATTAGGTCATCAGAACCTTCTTTTAGAAGCCATTGAGAAAGCTATTACAAGCTTTGGATTGCTTTTCAAAGAAGTTTATAGGCCACCTAGTTTGAAAGCCTGTGTCTCAGTGATTAGGGTGGTAATGTGGAAAAGAATTCATGCATTTCTTATTCATTATCATTTGCACATTTCAATTTTAGAAGAATCTCATACAGCAAGTGAATACCAGTGTGAGTGCTACCTTTGTGAGAGTTTCCTTTGGGAGTGTCTAGTTCTGTCTCTAGTTAGTGATCCCTGGGGATGCCAAAGGCAGTCATGGTGAGGGTGGCGAAGACTAGCTCTGGTGCCACCTTGCTGAGGTCAGACTCCAGCTCTGCCTTCCACTGGCTGAGTGAACTTCAGACTTCCATTTCTGTCTTTGGAAATGGAATTGTGGCTTAGAAAGCCTCAGTAACTTGCCCAAGGTCACACATTTGGGAATTTGTTGTGAGGATTAAAGCAGTTAATACATGGGATGTGTTTAGAACAGTGTGGGGCACACGGTAAGAATTCAGTAATTATTATAAAGAGCCAAGGTGACCACTCCTGAATTTCACCACTGTTCTCAATCCATTTCGTTCAAACGGAAAACCATATATAAATGTCACTTAAAATGAGAACATAAGTGCCCAGCCTTGTGCCCGTCTTCTGCTAAAAAGGTGTTATGGCCCATTATTATAATTAATTATGGATCTGATAGGACATATGTATAGATATTTGGTAAGAATGGAAATGCTTAGTTTTAATCTATAAACAATTCTTAAACATTTGGAAAGCTGAAGAATAAAAAAAAGTCAAAGATTTTGCTCCTGATCAAAAGACAAACTGTTTCAGCCTTGGGGCAGTTTGCACTAATGGAAATACAAATCCAAGCTCTTTTGGATATTTACTTCATTAGGTTATTTAGTGATTGCCCTAGATTTGGGGGCAGAAACTTCCCTGTGAGGGATGGCTAGTCTTTTTTGTAGTCACGAATGTTATGTAAGTGCAAAAACTATATCAAGACCATTTTTGCTGGTGCCATCAAGCCCGTCCTAAACCAGCATCATTATCTACCATCTGGTAATATGCAGAGGGTATACTTTCAAGAACAGGACATGTTTGTAACATTGAGGGAAAGACTTTTATCCCAGTAGATTGAAA